TTGAATTCGATTCGACCACCTCCGTAATGTTTTTGATCATTCCCAATCCAACACCAAAATCATCTATATTCCGTACCAAAGGGGAAGAAAACGTTATACATATATTGTCCAAACTTAAATTTGATCTGGGTAGCGTGCTCTGTCCCTTGACCTGCCCAATCTAATACAATATCGAACGGTGCATGACGATGCAAAGCTTGTTGTTGTTGTTATTGTTGTAGCGGCTACTAAGTCCCGTTCGAGGCGGTTCATCCATCAACGTTGTCGCCTATTTCAGCCAGGGGGAGGCCCAGGAAGTGTGCTACTTGCAAAGGGGCTGTACATAGGGACAGGGGCGTTAGCTGAGTGGGGTTCTCAGGGCATGTGAAGAAGTGCAGGGAGTCATGTGGCGAATCTCCACATGCCGGGCATTGGTTGGGCACATCCTCGTTGATTCTGGTCAGGTAGCTGTTGAGCCTGCTGCAGTAGCCAGAGCGAAGTTGGGCTACTGTAGTGCCGGTCTCCCGAGGCAGACAAAGTTCTGTCCCGTCCACGTTGTTGTTGTTGTTGTAGCGGCTACAACAACCCCGCCCAGGACGGTTGGTATCTCAGTCATTGTCGTCAAGTTCCACTAACGGCAACCCTAGGAAGCGTGCAGCTTCTGTGGGGTTTGTCCACAGGGACAAGGCCGTTAGGGTTGATGGGTTTTCCGGGCATGCGAAGAGATGATTCGAGTCATGTGGGGTCTCTCCGCATGCCGGACGCTCATTCGGCACATCCTCATTCAACCTACTCAGGTAGGAGTTCAACCTGCTGCAGTAACCGGAGCGAAGTTGTGCGAGTGTTGTGCGTGTCTCCCGAGGCAGATGAAGCTCCGTCTCGTCTATGTCCGGGGGTGGTATGCCTAGAACGGCATTCACAGGTCTAGAGTCTACATAACTCGAGACTGAGTCCCTGTGAATGCCGTTCGGGGCCTGTCGGTACGCTGTCGGGTCCAGAGGTTGCTTAATGAACCTCTGGACTTCGTCTGTCAGTTCATATAGATGCCTCCTGACGTGCCTAGGCGAGGGCTCCTCTGCAAGCAGCTGTCTGCTTGGGTGGCCACTTCTGTGCTCCCGATCAGGAACTGCTTGCAGAGCATTATATTGTGCTCCTTTACAGGGAGCATTTGCGCCTCGCCGTGCAGGTGGTGTTCAGGCGACATCAGGAGGCATCCTGTCGCTCTCCTGAGTGCAGTGTTCTATACAGTCTGTAGCTTCGTCCACTGCGTCCTACTAGTCCCTGGCGACC